CATGGAGAAACCCCATCGCTACTAAAAATACAAAAAATCAGCCAGGTGTGGTGGCACATGCCTGCAATCTCAGTTTCTCGGGAGGCTGAGGTAGAATTGCTTGAACCTGGGAGGCCGAGTTTGTGGTGAGTTGAGATTACACCATTGCACTCTAGCCTGGGCAACAAGATTGAAACTCCATTATCAAAAAAAAAAAAAAAAAAAAAGGAAAAGAAAGAAAAATTCTAGATTTACAGAACTCACCTGGCAGTCCTGTCACTGGTGATGTGTCAGCCTCTCCACACACACCAGTGTCTCCCTAGTGGGGCGTGAGTCATACTCATCTCTGATCTCCAAGAGCACTTGCTCAATGAACGAGTGCAGAGGCTCATGGGAACAAAAGTGTAGTGAGGATAGGCTTTTGCCTGCCTAGCATTTTGGGGCCCAGGCCTCCCTATCTTGTGCCCATGTGGCACACCAGGAAGCACAGCTGGCCAAAGGTAGCCCCGGCCTTCCCAGAGCAATGAGGAAAAAAGACCCAGCACTTTCTTCCCCGGGGGTTTGGAAGTCAAGGCTGTGAGTCTGGTAGGGATCCTGCCCGAGGATGATCAGCTCTGCAAAGCAGAGAAAATGTGACACTGTGCCCGGCCTCTTGTTGCCCAGGCTGGAGTGCGATGGCACAATCTCGGCTCACTGCAACCTCCCCCTCCTGGGTTCAAGTGATTCTCCCGCCTCAGCCTTCTGAGTAGCTGGGTCTATAGGCACCTGCAACCACACCCAGCTAATGTTTGTATTTTTTTTTTTTTTTTGAGACGGAGTGTCGCTCTGACGCCCAGGCTGGAGTGCAGTGGTGCGATCATGGCTCACTGTAACCTCTGCCTCCTGGGTTCAAGCGATTCTCCTGCCTCAGCCTCCTGAGTAGCTGGGACTACAGGCACGTGCCACCATGCCCAGCTAATTTTTTATATTTTTAGTAGAGACGGGGTTTCACCATGTTGACTCGATCTTTTGACCTCGTGATCCACCCACCTCGGCCTCCCAAAGTGCTGGGATTACAGGCTTGAGCCACTGCGCCCGGCCTATGTTTGTATTTTTAATAGAGACGGGGTTTCTCCATGTTATTCAGGCTGGTCTGGAACTCCTAACCTCAGGTGATCCACCCGCCTTGGCTTCCCAAAGTGCAGAGATTACACGCTCGAGCCACTGCGCCCAGCCTTTTTGTTTTTTTTGACACAGGGTCTCTCTCTGTCACCCAGGCTGGAGCGCAGTGGTGCAATCTCAGCTCACTACTACTTCCGCCTCCCAGGTCCAAATGATTCTCCTGCCTCAGCCTCCTGAGTAGCTGGGATTACAGATGCCCACCACTACACCTGGCGAATTTTTGCATTTTTTTTTTTTTAAGAGATGGGGTTTTGCCATGCTGGGTCTAGGCTGGTCTCGAACTCCTGACCTGAGGTCATCCACCCACCTCAGTCTCCCAAAGTGCTGGGATTACAGACATGAGTCACCTTGCCCAGCCAGAGTTCTGTAAATGACTGAGGCTTGTCCAGAGCACTGAGGGGCAGGGCAGGGGCACCTATCCAGGGGGAGACTCTGCAGCTTCGCAGGGGAGCCACATCTTTGTGGAGTGGGGAGTGGTTGTGAGGGCATTCACAACCTGAGACTCCAGAGAGGTGAGGCATGACAGATGCCTTGAAGGGCTCGTATAGTGGTCTGTACATTTCTACTTGAATTTTCCTGTCTTGGCCGGGAGGGGTGGCTCATGCCTGAAATCCCAGCATTTTGAGAGGATGAGGTGGAAGGATTGCTTAAACCCAGCAATTCCAGCCTGGGCAACATAGTGTAATCCTGTCTCTACAAAAAGTATAAAAATTAGGTGGGTGTGCTGGCCAGCGCCTATAGTCCGAGCTACTCAGGAGGCTGAGGCAGGAGGATTGCTTAAGCCTGGGAGGCAGAGGCTGCAGTGAGTCGAGATCGAGTCACTGCACTCCAGCCTGGGTGACAGAGTGAGACTCCGTCTCAAAAAAGAAAAATCATTAAAGAGCACTTAGAATTGCTGTACATTGTGAGTGGAGAGCCTTCTGCAATTGAAAGCTAAGAATCTGAAGTCCGTGATTAACTGGGAAGTAAACCTGAGTCCAATCAGCTGATTCTGTAGAACATTCTGGTGGGGTTTTAATGTTGTGACTGGCCTTTTTTCTTTTACCTTAAATCCTGCTAGTCTGTGCACGCTTCGTGGGGAGCAACCATAAACTACTGACATTGGGGCCCTTGTGCCCAGCAGAGCAGGCACTCGGTATTTCTTGGCTGAATGAACGTTGATAGATTTTAACCATTCCCCCACGTCTCCTCCCTTTAAATGCTTGCAGCCTATAGTTGAGGGAGCAGCCAGAACAGCTGGTCAGCAGGTGGGCCCGGGTGGAAGGGGTGTGGCTCACAATGCTCACGAGAGCACCAGCCACGAGGAGGCAGGGGTGGCTCAGCCCTGCCCTCTGCCGTCCATAAGGAAGGCTGACCCGCTGATCACTGCGGAGCATGCACAAGAGGAAAATACTCCGGAGAGGAATGAAGATGCTGTAGCACTCAGTTCAGAAGGGATCTATGTTAAAAGGCAAAAATAGGCCGGGTGCAGTGCCTTACCCCTGTAATCCCAGCACTTTGGGAGGCCGAAGCAGGCAGATCACCTGAGGTAGAGAGTTCGAGACCAGCCTGACCAACATGGAGAAACCCCGTCTCTACTAAAAATACAAAAATTGGCTGGGTGTGGTGGCACGAGCCTATAGTCCCAGCTAGTCGGGAGGCTGAGGCAGGAGAATCACTTGAACCCAGGAGGCGGAGGTTGCAGTAAGCTGAGATGGCACCACTGTACTCCAGCCTGGGCAACAAGAGCGAGACTCTGTCTGAAAAAAAAAAAAGAAAAAGCAAAAAACGACAAGCATGGGGGAGCCTGAAAGGAAATCTAACAAGACTCCGGCAAGGCAAACCCAGTGGGCCACAGGGAGAAAATGCCAGTGGCACCCAGACCCCAAACTCTACCAGCTGCCTCCCAATCAGGGGACCCTTCAGAGCAGGAACCTCAGCTCCCCTTCAGGAAAATTAATTCTGGATTTGGAAAAGAAGCCTATTCCTTTAGGCTTGTCTACTCCTTCCTATTCTGCTCTGATTTCCTAACCAGACATACAGTTACAATTTTTACTCAAAAAATGCCAACAGAATAGAGCTATTTTTGTTTGTTTGTTTTTGAGATGGACTCTCGATCTGTTTGAGTGCAGTGGTGTGATCTCAGCTCACTGCAACCTCCGCCTCCCGGATTCAAGTGATTCTCCTACCTCTGCCTCCCAAGTAGCTGGCATTACAGGTATGAACCACCGAACCCGGGCGTGTTTCTTGTTTTTTTTTTTTTTTTTTTTTTTTTTTTTTTAAATCAGCAAACAGAAATCTTTGACATACAATCTGCCAGGAGTTGCATGGTTTCCCTGTTAATCAGAAGTCTAAAATACTCCTTGCACATGTACGGAACAAAGGGCCTTCTGTGGCTTACTCCTCTGCAGGAGGTGGAAGCCGCAGCGTGAGCCTGAGGCACAAAAGCAGCCGCTTCCCCACGCTGGAAGCAGACTGAAGGGCTTGTCAGAAAACAGCTCTCAAGCTTTGTCCTCTCAGGGGCAAAGAATCGAAGCAGGGGAGCACTGCTGCCCCAAGGCAAGGCTTCTCTGCAGCCCTGATACGATTCTGTTTCCTTTAAAGAGCAGCATGAGTGTGGGCAAGCCTGGATCCTCCACCTGCAGCTCCCAAAGATGCTCCTCACACAGCGGCCTTTGCCTGGGCAGGTTTTTTTGGAAGATGGTCCTATTAAGCATTGTAACTCCAGTATTTGTGCAGAGCAAATGCTGTACCTGATGCCACTTGGAGCCCTGATGAGGGCTCTGCCAGAGCTACGGGATGGCATCAAGGGAGCTGAGGCTTGCAGGCAGGTGTGGCTTCCTGTCCATTATTAAGATTAAATAAAAACAAGGAAGGCCGGGGCACAGTGGCTCATGCCTGTAATCCCAGCACTTTGGGAGGTTGAGTCAGGCGGATCATCTGAGGTCAGGAGTTCCAGACCAGCCTGGCCAACATGGAGAAACCCTGTCTCTAGTAAAAATGCAAAAATTGGCTGGGCGTGGTGGCATGTGCCTGTAATCTCACTACTCAGGAGGCTGAGGCAGGAGAATCGCTTGAACCCAGGAGGTGGAGGCTGCGGTGAGCAGAGGTCTCGCCACTGCACTCCAGCCTGGGTGACAGGGTAAGAGTGTCTCAAAACAAAAAGAAGGAAAGGCATTAGATGTCCCGTTGTCACTGACCTGAGACAGCCCTCGGGAGCCCCGCTGAACTTCTCATAGCCACATCCGGCTTTTTTTGGGTGAACATGAGCAGGTAAAACTCACTGCCTACAAACACCACCCACACACAAAGTGGGAGACAGACTCAATTTTATTTTCCTTTTTTTTTTTTGAGACAGAGTTACACTCTTGTTACCTAGGCTGGAGTGCAATGGCGCAATCTCGGCTCACCGCAACCTCCACCTCCTGGGTTCAGGCAATTCTCCTGCCTCAGCCTCCTGAGTAGCTGGGACTACAGGCACGCGCCACCATGCCCAGCTAATTTTTTGAATTTTTAGTAGAGATGGGGTTTCACCGTGTTGACCAGGATGTTCTCGATCTCTTGACCTCGTGATCCACCTGCCTCGGCCTCCCAAAGTGCTGGGATTACAGGCTTGAGCCACCACGCACAGCCAATTTTATTTCCCTTTTAAAGTCCAAATTAAGGCCAGGAGCGGTGGCTCACGCCTGTAATCCCAGCACTTTGGGAGGCTGAGGCAGGCAGATCACTTCAGGTCAGGAGTTCAAGACCAGCCTGACCAACATGGTGAAACCCCGTCTCTAAAAATAATAATAGTAATAATAAAGTCCAAATTAAAGTATTTAAAATATTGGGAATTTTAACAAACATGCATGTTTGTGCGAAAAGTGGTATAAAACATATCACCGAAATAAGCTTTATTTTGTAAATATTTAAAAGCCCACAGAAATACTTTACTTGAATATGGCTATTAAAATTATATTAACCTAATTTAAAAAAAAACAGCCAACTTTTGTGTTAGAATAATCTTTTTTTTTTTGAGATGGAGTCTTGCTCTGTCACCCAGGCTGGAGTGCAGTGGTGCAATCTCAGCTCACTGTAACCTCCAACACCTGGGTTCAAGCAATTCTCCCACTTCAGCCTCCCAAGTAGCTGGGATTACAGGCGCCCTCCATCATTACTGTAGAGACGAGGTTTCACCATGTTGGCCAGGCTACTCTCGAACTGACCTCAGGTGATCCACCTACCTCGGTCACCCAAAATTGCTGAGATTACAGGCATGAGGCACCTTGCTTGGCCTTTTTTTGAGACAGGATCTGGCTCTGTCACCAAGTGGTGGGATCTTGGCTCACCACAGTCTGGACCTCCCTGGCTCAATCCATCCTTGAAGCTCAGCCTCTGGAGTAGCTGGGACTACAGGCATGTGCTACTAGACACAGCTCATTTTTGCATTTTTTGTAGAGGCAGGGTTTCACCATGTTGCCCAGACTGGTTTCGAACTCCCAAGCTCAACTGATTTGCTTGCCTCGGCCTCCCAAACTGGTGGGATTACATGAGGTGAGGAGTTGTGAGCCACCATGCCTGGCCATTTAATCTTCATGTTTAAGGAAAGAGGAAAACAAGTGCTGCTGCTTCTTGCTAATCTGCCTACAGCATTGAAGAATCTACTGACACAGTTAACACCAAGAATCAAGTTAAACGTTTTGGCATGTAATAAAACAGGACTTGCAGCCGGGCGCGGTGGCTCAAGCCTCCCACTTTGGGAGGCCAAGGCGGGTGGATCACAAGGTCCAGAGATCGAGACCATCCTGGTCAACATGGTGAAACCCCGTCTCTACTAAAAATACACAAAAAAATTAGCTGGGCATGGTGGCGCGTGCCTGTAATCCCAGCTACTCAGGAGGCTGAGGCAGGAGAACTGCCTGAACCCAGGAGGCGGAGGTTGCGGTGAGCCGAGATCGCACCATTGCACTCCAGCCTGGGTAACAAGAGCGAAACTCCGTCTCGAAAAAAAGAATAAAATAAAATGGCACTTGCTTTCATGTCCTCACACCAGACCGTATTCAGAGTGCAGCCGGTGAGGACCCACCAGCTGATGACTCACAGCGAGGGTGGTCTGACCCCGCGGCCAGCATAGACACTTGGCAGCCAGCTTCCAAATCATTCCCATCAGCAAGCTTTTTGATTCTGTAGAGGTTTATTCATATCTTTATTTTATTTATTGATTGATACGAAGTCTCGCTTGGTCTCCTAGGCTGCAGTACAGTGGCAAGATCTCGGTCGCTGCAACCTCCACCTCCTGGGTTCAGGAGATTCTCGTGCCTCAGCCTTGAGTAGCTGGGATTCCAGGTGCATGCCACCACACCCGGCTAATTTTTTGTAGAGATGGGTTTTTGCCATGTTGTCCAGCCTGCTCTCGAACTCCTGACCTCAAGTGATCCACCCGCCTAGGCCTCCCAAAGTGCTGGGATTAAAGGCGCAGCCAACGCGCCTGGCCGATATTTTGAAATAGCTCTGTTTTGAATTGGTTTAATTCGAAACATAGAAAACGGGCACCAAGTGCTTGGGCCTTAACGCCATGTCCATGACAACAAGCTGGCCTAGAGCCCACATCAGTGGAACCCGCCCTGTCCCCAGACAGGCCACCGCCCCCTTAGGAAGATGTGGGCTTCTTGGGACCACTTCAGTTTTTCTCAGCCCCTGTGAAAGGAGCTCCTCTAACCATCTGCTTCCCATGGAAAGCTGGACTCCGGCTGGGTCACGGGGACTCCTAGCTGCTCATCTTCGTGTGTTTCCGTTTGAGCTTGTTCCACATCCTTTCCAGAGCCACTTTTCCCATGCAGAACGTGATGGCAAAGTTGCGCTTGTACCAGTCTCTGCAGAGAAACAGGATGCACAGGTGACACGGCAGCAGGAACTGGGGCTTGGTGTCCTGGCCCAGGGGCAGCTCTCAGCCAACATGAGTTCAACTGTCCAGGCCTCTGCCCTCACCACCACCTCTCCCTGTCCCCGCCCTTGTTAAAGCCAAACTATCCAGAGAGGCCTCAGAAAGGCCTGCTTCTTTTCAGGCTGAGAGTGAGGCCCCCTGGGAATGCCTGGAGCCCTCCCCAACCTTCTGTTTCTGGAGGCTGCTGCCATCCTCCTTGGGTGTTTTTTTTTTTTTTTTTTTGAGAGGGTGTCTTGCTCAGTTGCCCAGGCTGGAGTGCAGTGGCATAATCTTGGCTCACTGCAACCTCCGCCTCCTGGGTTCAAGTAATTCTCCTGCCTCGGCCTCCTAAATACTCCTTTGATTTTTGCTAAAAGATCCAAGACAGCCCTTGGAAACTCCAGGCCTCGTGGGCTGGCCGCATTCCAGGAGTGTGATGGGGCCACGACTGCTATGGAGTCTTTGCATGGCAGGGCAGAAAGCTCCTTTCTACCTGCAGACCACCTTTCCGCCTCCACCTACTTCAGTGATACTGTCATGAGGAACAGTGCCCAAAGGAAGTAAGTGCTTCTAGGGAAAGAAAAGCGGTAGCCCATGGGGATTACAGTTCTTAAAGGAAAAGCCGTGTTCCATTTCACTAACACAGCCTGATTCTACGACATTCGCGTGAAAAGGCAAACCAGGCTTCTGCTGTTGCCACAGGGAAGGCAGGGGCAGGAGGTGGGGATGAGGACCGGGCTCCTCTAAAGCCTGATCTTGGGTAAGAGAGAAAACATGAAGCCTATCACAGATTGTGCCTAGTGTAAACAAGCTATGTGTCCAAAGACCAGGGAGAGACGTTACTTGCTTATTTGAGTGACTTAACTAATTCCGAGTAATACATGACAACCTTAGAAATAGAATTCAGATATTTCAGGACTAATCTTTAGGTCGGACTGTCCCTCACTGAGCCCATCTAGCTTTTGACCATATTGACATTCTCTCTCTCTCTCTCTCTCTCTCCCTCTCTCTCTTTTTAGACAGGGTCTCGCTCTGTGGCCCAGGCTGGAGTGCAGTAGCGGGATCTCAGCTCATTGCAACCTCCACCTCCCGGACTCAAAGGATCCTCCTGCCTCAGCCTCCTGTAGCTGGGACTACAAGTGCATGCTACCATACCCAGCTAATTTTTGTATTTTTTTGTAGAGACAGAGTTTTGCCACGTTGTCCAGGCTGGTCTCAAACTCCTGGGCTCAAGCAATCCATCTGCCCTGGCCTCCCAAAGTGCTGGGATTACAGGTATGAGCCACCCTGCCTGACCCATATTGACATTCTTGAGGTCTGGCTTCACCTGCCCATCAGTCTCTGTAACTGTTATATATATATATATATAATTTTATTTTATTTTATTTTATTTTTGAGACAGGGTCTCACTCTGTCATCTAGGCTGGAATGAGTGGCGGGATCTCAGCTCACTGTATCCTCAACCTCCCGGGCTCAAGTGGTCCTCCTAGTTCAGCCTTCCAAGTAGCTGGAACTATAGGCACACGCCACCACGCCTTGGCTATTTGGAGAGACAAGGTTTCACTATGTTGCCCAGGCTGGTCTTGAACTCCTAGCCTCAAATGATCCACCCACCTTGGCCTCCCAAAGTCATGGGATTACAGGTGTGAGCCACTGCATCCAACCTACAAATATATATATATATATATATATATTTTTTTTTTTTTTTTCTGAGACGGAGTTTCGCTCCTGTTACCCAGGCTGGAGCACAATGGCACAATCTTGGCTCACCGCAACCTCTGCCTCCTGGGTTCAGGCAATTCTCCTGCCTCAGCCTCCTAAGTAGCTGGGATTACAGGCGCGCGCCACCATGCCCAGCTAATTTTTTGTATTTTTAGTAGAGACGGGGTTTCACCATATTGACCAGGATGGTCTCGATCTCTTGACCTTGTGATCTACCCGCCTCGGCCTCCCAAAGTGCTGGGATTATAGGCGTGAGCCACCGTGCCTGGCCCATCCTACAAATATTTTAAAGCAAATCTCAGATATCATGTCCTATTATTTCACCTGTAGATATAAGCCATTATATATCTGTAACCAGTTAAAACATTCTTTAAAAAAGCACATAATCACAACATAATTCTGTGCAAAATGTACAATAATTTATTAATACAAACTAATATGCAGTTACTGTTCAATTTTCTCTATTTGTCCAAAATACCATTTAACAGGTGGGCATCTGAATCAGGAGCTAAACGAGGTCTAGTCATTGCAAGACCCCCTTTTTAACTTTTGGAATTCTAGTTACCTGTTGAAGAAACTGGACCATTTTTTTGAGGAATTTCCAACATTTGGGTTTAGTTGATTCTACCTTCAGCTCTCATTTCAGTCTTTTTTTTTTGAGACAGAGTCTTGCTCTGTTGCCCAGGCTAGAGTACAGTGGTGCAATCTCAGCTCACTGCAACCTCTGCCTCCTGGGTTCAAGTGATTCTCCTGCCTCTGCCTCCCAAGTAGCTGGGACTACAGGTGTGTGCCACCACGCCCAGCTAATTGTTTGTATTTTTAGTAGAGACGGGGTTTCACCACATTAGCCAGGATGATCTTGATCTCCTAACCTCGTGATCCGCCCGCCTCAACCTCCCAAAGTGCTAGGATTACAGGCATGAGCCGCAATGCTCGGCCTAAAAAAACTGGTATCTTTTTAAGCCACTGCAGTTACTTCAAAAATAAAGTTGATAAAGTCTTGCAACTTCTACCCCTGATATAAATGTGAATGGAATGTTGTTAAATTCAGGTAAGAAAACACTCCTGGCCGGGTGCAGTGGCTCACGCCTGTAATCCCAGCTCTTTGGGAGGCCCAGGTGGGTGGATCACGAGGTCAAGAGATCTGAGACCATCCTGGTCAACATGGTGAAACCCCGTCTCTACTAAAAATACAAAAAATTAGCTGGGCATCGTGGCGCGTGCCTGTAATCCCAGCTACTCAGGAGGCTGAGGCAGGAGAATTGCCTGAACCCAGGAGGCGGAGGTTGTGGTGAGCTGAGATTGCACCACTGCACTCCAGCCTGGGTAACAACAGTGAAACTCCGTCTCAAAAAAAGAAAATACTCCTACCTAATCTGGATGTGCTATTCAAATTTTCAGGAAAAGAGTAAATACCTACCTATTATAATACATGTGCTTCTGAAAATTTTTACTTAAAAATTCCTTGTAAAAGTCCGCCATTTCTTCGGCATTCAGTGTTGTTTTCTGACCTGAAAGTTAATTTCAGCTTAAACATTAAGTCATAAGGGAAAAGGATAAACAAAAAAAAAAATTATTAGAGCTAATAAATGAGTTCAGCAAGCGTGCAGGATATATACAGGACCAACACACAGACATCAATTCTGTTTCTAGATACTAGCAATGAACAGTCTGAAAATGAAATTGAGAAAACAATTCTACTATGATAGCATCAAAAATAATAAAAGATTAGGAACAGGCTGGGCGCTTTGCGAGGCTAAGGTGGGAGGGCAGATCATGAGGTCAAGAGACACAGACCATCCTGGCCAACATGGTGAAATGGCATGGCTACTAAAATACAACAATTAGCTGGGTGTGGTGGCAGTTGCCTGTAGTCCCAGCTATTTGGGAGGCTGAGGCAGAGGAATGGCTTGAACCCAGGAGATGGAGGTTGCAATGAGCCACTGCACTCCACCCTGGCAACAGAGTGAGACTCTGTCTCCAAAAAAAAAAAAAAAAAAAAAATTACAAAGTAGGCCAGGAGCGGCAGCTCATGTCTGTAATCCCAGCACTTTGGGAGGCCAAGGCAGAGGACTGCTTAAGCTCAGGAGTTTGGGACCAGCCTGGGCAACATGATGAAACCCTGTCTCTACAAAAATGTATTAAAAAAAATAGCTGGGCCTGGTGGTGTAGAGCTGTGGTCCCAACTACTCAAGAGGCTGAGCCGGGAGGACTGCTTGAGCCTGGGGGGGAAAGGTTTCAGTGAACCCAAATCCCGCCACTGTATTCCAGCCTGGTGACAGAGTGAGACCCTGACTCAAAACACAACAAAACACAAAATATCGTGGAAAAAAATGAAAGAAGACCTTTTAAATTAATGGGAAAGACATACCATGTTCATGATTTGGAAGACTTAATACTGTTAAGATGGCAATACTCCCTGAATTGACGTGCAGATTCAGAACAATCTGTATCAAAATCCCAGCTGGGTTTTTTCTTTTTTTTTTGCAGAAACTGACAATCTCAAATTCATATGGAAATGTAAAGAAACCCAATGGCTAGAACAACCTTGATCAAAGATGAACAAAGTTGGAAGATTCACACTTCTCAATTTCAAAACTTACTACCAAACAACAGTAATGAAGGCAGTACGGTGCTGGCATAAGGACAGGCATGCAGATCAACGCAATCAAACTTCGAGTCTAAAAGTAAACCCAAACATTTGTGGGCAAGTGATTTTCACTGAGGGTGCCAAGACAATTCAATGAGGGAGGGAATAGTCTTTTTAACACATGGTGCTGGAACAACTAGCTGGATAACCACATGCAAAGGAATAAGTTGAACCCCTACCTCACACCATAAAACAAGAGTTAACTCAAGGTCAATAAAAAAATCTAAACATAAGGGCTAAAACTATAAAAGAAAAACTCTTCAAGAAAACAGATGCAACTCTTCATCATCTCAAATTAAGTAGTATTTCTTAAATATGACACCTAAAACACAAGCAAAAAAAAAAAAAAAACTCCGTTTCATCAAAATTAAAAATTTTTGTGATTCAAAGGACACTATCAAGAAAATGACAAGGATTAGCTATGCTTGGGGGCGCATGCCTATAATCTCAGCTACTTGGGTGGCTGAGGTGAGAGGATCGCTTGGGACCAGCAGTTCAAGACTAGCCTGGGCAACATAACAAGACCTAATCTCTCCAAAAAATTAAAAAAGGAGCCAGGTACGGTGGTGTGTGCCTGTAGTCCCAGCTACTCAGGAGGCCGGAGAAGGAAGGTCACTTGAGCCAAGGTTGCAGTGAGCCATGTTCATACCACTGCACTCTAGCCTGGGCAACAGAGCCAGACCCTGTCCCTTGGGGGAAGAAAAGAAGGGCCGGCATGGTGACTCACATCTGTAATCCCAGCACTGAGAGGCCGAGGCGGGCGGATCACGAGGTCAGGAGATTGAGACCATCCTGGCAGCAGTGTGAGACTCTGTCTCACGAAAAAAGGAAAAACCTGTATGTGTTTTTATTATCGTAGAATGGGAGAAAAACATTTGTAATCACCCAGCTAATAAGGGTCTAGTATCGAAAATATGTAAAGAACTCTTTCATTTCAGCAACAAAAAGATAAATCATCCAATTTTATTTATTCATTTTTTTTGAGACGGACTCTCGATCTGTCCCCCAGGCTGGAGTGCAGTGGCACAATCTTGGCTCACTGCAACCTCCACCTCCGAGGTTCAAGCAATTCTCCTGCCTCAGCCTCCTGAGTAGCTGAGATTACAGGCATGTGTCAACATGCCTGGCTAATTTTTGTATTTCTAGTAGAGACGGGGTTTCACCATATTGGTCAGGCTGGTCTCAAACTCTTGACCTGATGATTCTCCTGCCTTGGCCTCCCAAAGTGCTAAGATTACAGGTGTGAGCCGCCTTGCCTGGCCAAATCATCTAATTTTAAAATAGGCAAAGGATTTAAACAAGAATTTCTCCAAAGAAGATAAAGGAACAACCAATAAGCACCTGAGAAGATACTCAACACCAGGAAGAGAAGCAAAGCGCCTATCTGAATGCCATAAGCCATTCTAGCACAGTATCAATCCTGTGCAGGGAGTCGCAGTCTGATTTACAGCCTGTCAGTCAGAGGGACGAGTGGCCCAGGACTTGCAGCTGGCGAAGGATTTAAACAGGAATTTCTCCAAAGAGAAAGACTGCCTCAGTGGAGGCCATCTTGTGGGACTGGGTCTTTAACCTGTGGCATCAGACAGCAGCTCCAAGTAGACAGTGTCATATCTGAACTGAATTGCTGGACACCTAGCTGGTGCAGAAGAGTTGGAGAAGTGGGATTAGAGAAGATACCAGGTATTTGATATCAGGAGGAAAAAAGGCTCTTTTTTTTCTTGAGATGGAGTCTCACACCCTCACCGAGGCTGGAGTGCAGTGGTATGATCTTGGCTCACTGCAACCTCTGCTTCCTGGGTTCAAGGGATTCTCCTGCCTCAGTCTCCTGAGTAGCTGGGCTTACAGGTGCCTGCCACCATGCCTGGCTAATTTTTTTGTATTTTTGTAGAGATGGGGTTTCGCCATGTTGGCCAGGCTGGTCTGGAACTCCTGACCTCAAGTGATCCGCCTGCCTTAGCCTCCCAAAGTGCTGGGATTAGCAGACATTATGGTGCTTCTGCTGCCTGCTGAGCCTCGGCCTGGGGGTGTTTGAGCCAAGTGCAAGGAGACCTGTCCTGATATGATGCCTGTGTCCATGGACTCAGGTGGCAGCAGCTGCTGCCCCTGCCTGTGGGGTGCTCCCGTGGTCACCCTAACAGCAGCGACCACAAGCAAGCCCTTCTGTGTCGGTCCCTCCCATCCTGCCACACTGATGGAGAGCTGCCTGGGATTACAGGTGTGAGCCACCAAGCCTGGCTCTCCACACGAATTCTCACACATGGTTCACGGCCATCATTTTCCTGCTTCCTGGCATATGTGTAATATGTGTAGCTAAATCCTTCTAGAAAAGGGGCTGAGGATTTCATACTGCCATGCACCACTGATGTAACTCCGCCAGCACTGAGTCTCAGGACTGAAAACATTCCCTTACAAATTCAGTAAGCATGAAATAATGACTTCGTATTAAACGTGCACTGTGGGCCAGGCACAGTGGCTCACTCCTATAATCCCACCACTTTGGAAGCAGATCGCCTGAGGTCAAGAGTTTGAGACCAGCCTGGTCAACATGGCAAAACTCCATCTCTACCAAAAACACACACACAAAAATTAACCGTGCATGGTGGTGGGTGCCTGTAATCCCAGCTACTTGGGAGGCTGAGGCAAGAGAATTGCCGGAACCCGGGAGGCAGAGACTGCAGTGAGCCAAGATTATGCCACTAAACTTCAGCCTGGGTAACAGAGCGAGACTCCATCTCAAAAAAATAAACAAATATGTCCTGTAAAATTTAGAGTTCAAGCAATTTTCTCTTCCTGTAGCCGCACTATTGTCTATAAACGTGTTATTTCTGAAAATTCGTGGCAGCTTTTCCTGAAACCCAAACCGCCCGTGTCGTCTTTGCTGCCAGCACTTGCCCTTCCTCGAATTTCCGGACAGTGATCCCTGTCTCTGCCCAGCCCTCTGATTCTTTGCCAGCAGGCCTGCTCTTCTGTCCCCTTCCACCCGTCTCCATGGCAGCAGCCAGGCTCTCTGCACAAGCCCCACCTCCGCCTCCGCTAATCCGGCACCTCCCAGCTGGGCTGGAGCCAGCCTGGAGAGGCAGCCTCCTTAGCTGGCTGCTTCCTTGAATTTAGGAGGGATAGATAAACAAGGAGGCAGAGAAAGCCAGTTTGTAGCATGACAAGGGTAAAGCGGTGTCCTAGGAGAAAAGTTTAAACACAAGGAGGAAGAAATTGCTCTGGTCCCAGCATCTGAGCGCAGGCCATAACTGGGGCCAGCTCCACCCACCCGAGTACTGAGCCACCTCCACACCTGCTCAGCAAACTCTCCTGCCCAGAAAGCGCGATCAAAAGGAGTCTTAACTAACACAGACGTTTTCAGCTTTTGTGTTCCTGACTATCTCTATCTTCACCCTCAAGCTCCGGAGGGTAGCATTCGTCCAAATAAGGGAGAGTCTGTTATAGCCTATTAGAAGCTCGACCCAAGGAACCATGTATCTAACTCTTTAATACATAAATAATCAACTTTTAATAATGAACTTTGGCCGGGCGCAGTGGCACGCCTATAATCCCAGCACTTTGGGAGGCTGAGGCGGGTGGATCACGAGGTCAAGAGATCGAGACCATCCTGGTCAACATGGTGAAACCCCGTCTCTACTAAAGATACAAAAATTAGCTGGGCATGGTGGCGCATGCCTGTAATCCCAGCTACTCAGGAGGCTGAGGCAGGAGAATTGCCTGAACCCAGGAGGCGGAGGTTGCAGTGAGCTGAGATCGCGCCATTGCACTCCAGCCTGGGTTAACAACAGAGAAACTCCGTCTCAAATAATAATAATTATTAACTTTTTGGCCAGGCATGGTGGCTCACACTTGTAATCCCGGCACTTTGGGAGGACGAGGTGGGTGGATTGCTTGAGCTCAGGAGTTTGAGACCAGCCTGGGCAACATAGCAAAACTCCGTCTCTACAAAATACACAAAGGATCACTTGAGCCCGGGAGGTCAAGTCTGCAGTGAGCCATGATGGTGCCACTATACTCCAGCCTGGGAGACAGAGTGAGACCTGTCTCAAAAAAAAAAAAAAAAAATTAGTAATAATTAACATTTGACCCACTGGAATATATTTGTATTTTAGGGAGAATTAATCTAAATTTGTTCTTTTGGGCCAAAAGTAACTGTTTTTCCAACATCGTGTATTCAACAAAGCTCCCCTTCTCTTGGCTCTTGGGGACCTCTATCCTCACGCGGAGACATGCCGGCTGCCCCACTCCCACTGCAGGCACTGTGGCCTGCTAACTATTTCGACAGCTGCTGGAGCAGGCAGCTCCCTTCATGATTCCCTTCCTTAATACACCCTGTCCTATTACCAAATTTATTTTAAAATATCATTTAAGGCCAGCCTTTCAATACTCAGCAAAGCCATCAGTAGGATTCTGGGATATTAGGGAGAATCAAAACAACTTCTCCCATCTGTTAGGAGAGTGGCTGTCTCCAAAGCACCTCCAAGGCATGAGCCGACCTAGTCCCACCTGACACAATGACAGACCCACGGACATGGCACATGCACGCACGCACGCACACACATGGCTAGGTCAGCACAGGATGTGCCGTGAGGCCAGGAAGCACTTGCAATCTGACTCCCAAGGTGAGAATCCAGGCCACGTCACATTCTCACTGTGTGACTCTGGTGAAGCCTCAGGTTGCTCATCTATAAAACGGTAAAGATAACAGTACCGACTTCACTGGGTCACTGTGGGAAACAAAACAGGTAATATATGCACAGAACTTGTGCAGTGCTCAGCACAGACTGTGAGCTTTCATTCTCATGCTTACTGTTAGAATGCAGTGCCTGCTCCAGCTCTGCCCTGCAAGACCCCACCTCTCCAGGGCCCAGGCAGCAGCCAGCAAACAGCAACAGAGGTCCTGGCATGGGGGTGCCTCGAGCTCCCAGCCCTTTCCTCTAAATCAATCAGGCAAGAAAAAGGATTAGTAGGAATGGCACTTTAGCCCAATGACAGACTTGGCTTTTGGGGTGAATGATTTTGGATTTTCTATCAGAATTTGGCAGCAGACATCTGTCTAACAAACAGCATGAGATGTTATTCAGATCTAACACTCACACCAAGAGGAAACAATGAAAGGCTCTTTTGAGCACTGAGCTGAGATCAGGAATCAGAAGAGAAGCTGGTTTGGAGAGGCAGAAGCTGCAAAGGCTGAGACCTCAAGACCGAAGTCAAATGTCAGAGGCTGGCCATCCATCATAACCACCTCAGATCCTCAGAGAGGGAGCTGAAGGCTGGAGAGCCATGCTTGTGAACTGAGAACCTGGAAAGGGAGGGTTCGAAGGCAGCCTCAGGCTGCAGTGACGGCTCTGAAAGGCCATGTGGGTGGACAGGGGCGTGCCATCCCTGCCCCACAGCAGGCCAAGAACCGCCCTGAACCTCCCACTTCCCTCACCGCCCTTCCTTTACCTTCTCATGGACTTGCTCAGACCCAAACAGAGCAAAAACAAAGAAACAAATGCACTAACCAGATTCAGTCCTCAGGGCCAGGCCTTTAGTTTTTAGTCTTGAGTGAATAAATGCTTCTTTTTCCTTAAAAAAAAAAAAAAAAAAAGAGATACGTTCGTCAGTTGCTCCTTGCTGCCCGTGGACGCCTCTGCGGTCATGTCCAATCAGAGTCTCCTGAAGAGGTGTAACAGCTGGGGAAGCTCTTCATGGGAGGGCTGAGCTTTGAAACAACCGATGAGAGCCTGCGGAGCCATCCTGAGCACTGGGGAACGCTCAGGGACTGTGTGGTCACAAGAGATCCAAACACCAGGCGCTCCAGGGGCTTTGGGTTCATCACGTATGCAACTGTGGAGGAGGTGGATGCAGCCATGAATGTAAGGCCACACAAAGTGGATGGAAGAGTTGTGGAACCAAAGAGAGCTGTCTCAAGAGAAGATCCTCAAAGACCAGGTGCCCAGTTAACTGTGAAAAAAATTTTTGTTGGTGGCATTAAAGAAGACACTGAAGAATATCACCTAAGAGATTATTTTGAACAGTATGGAAAAATTGAAGTGATTGAAATCATGACGGACAGAGGCAGTGGCAAGAAAAGGGGCTTTGCCTCAGTAACCTTGGACAACCATGACTCCGTGGGTAAGACTGTCATTCAGAAATACCACACTGTGAATGGCCACGGCTGTGAAGTGAGGAAGGCCTGTAAAGCAAGAGCTGGCTAGCGCTCCATCAGCCAGAGAGGTCCACGTGGTTCTGGAAACTGTGTGGTGGTCGCGGAGCTGGTTTCGGTGGGAATGACAACTTTGGTCATGAAGGGAACTTCAGTGGTCGTGGTGGCTTTGGTGGCAGCTGTGGTGGTGGTGGATATGGTGGCAGGGGGGATGGCTAAATGGATTTGGTAATGATTGAAGCAATTTTGGAGCTACAAGGATTTTGGTAATTACAAGTCTTCAAATTTTGAGTCCATGAAAGAAGGAAACTTTGGAGGCAGAAGCTCTGGCCCCTGTGGTGGTGGCGGCCAATACTCTGCCAAACCACGAAACCAGCGTGGCCATGGCGGTTCCAGTAGCAGCAGTAGCTGTGGCAGTGGCAGAAGATTTTAACTAGGAAACAAAGCTTAGCAGGAGAGGGGAGCCAGAGAAGTGACAGGGGAGCGACAGGTCACAACAGATTTGTGAACTCAGCCAAGCACAGTGGTGGCAGGGCCTAGCTGCTACAAAGAGGACGTGATTTAGACAAATGCTCATGTGTACAGCAAAAGCTCAAGGACTGTATTTGTGACTAATTGTGTACCAGGTCATTTCAGTTTCTGTCCTGTGGAAAGTGTAAAGCATTCCAGCAAAGGGTTTTCATGTAGATTTTTTTTTTTTTTTTGCACCCATGCTGTTGATTGCTAAATTAATAGTCTGATCGTGACGCTGAATAAATGTCTTTTTTTAAATGTGCTGTGTAAAGTTAGTCTACTCTGAAGCCATCTTGATAAATTTCCCAACAGTGTGAAGTTTGAATTCCTTCAGGGTGATGCCAGGTTCTATTTGGAATTTATATACAACCTGCTTGGGTGGAGGAGCCGTTGTCTTCAGAAACCTTGGTGTAGTTGAACTGACAGCGACTGTCGTGACCTGAAGTTCACTATTAAAAGGGATTCCGTGGGCAAAATCATGGAATCATTGGTTATAAAGATGATTGTTGGCACATCCTATGCAATATATCTAAATTGAGTAATGGTACCAGATAAAATTACAGATGGGAATGAAGCTTGTGTATCATCCATTATCATGTGTATTCTCTTGAAAAAAAAAAACAAAACAAGGAGGACCGGGCATGGTGGCTCACAAGGTCAAGAGATTGAGACCATCCTGGTCAACATAGTGAAAGCCCATCTCTACTAATAATACAAAAATTAGCTGGGCATGGTGGCGCGTGCCTGTAGTCCCAGCTACTCGGGAGGCTGAGGCAGGAGAATTGCCTGAACCCAGGAGGCGGAGGTTGCGGTGAGCTGAGATCGCGCCATTGCACTCCAGCCGGGGTAACAAGAGCGAAACTCCATCTCAAAAAAAAAACGCTCTCAGAACTCCTTTTTCTGTCTTTCCATTTTTCTCTGGCTGCAGCACAGCTCACCGTGTCCTGGGAAGTTTAGACGTCGATCTCCTGAGAAGCAGGAGGCCCATCTCAAAGCCCGTTTAAAGCCTTCTTAATGTGGTTAAAAGTTTTGTGCTTGAAACAGGATTTGAAAAAAAAAAAAAAAAAAATCAATAAACTTTGGGAGGCACTGTTCGTTTATAAATCCACAGAATAGGCGGCTCACACCTGTAATCCCAGCACTTTGGGAGACCAAGGTGGGTGATTACCTGAGGTCAGGAGTTCAAGACCAGCCTGGTCAACGTGGAGAAATCCTGTCTCTACCAAAAGTGCAAAAAATTAGCCGGGTGTGGTGGTGAGCACTTGTAATCGCAGCTACTCAGGAGGCTGAGGCAGGAGAACTGCTTGAACCCAGGAGGTGATGGCTGCAGTGAGATGAGATCACGCCACAGTACTCCAGGGTTGGGCATCAGAGTGAGACTCTGTCTCAAAACAAAACAAAAAGTCCACAGAATACAATAAATTTACTGTACCTGACACAGCCCACCCAAATGGAAAATCAAAGTTTAAATGTTTTTCTTCTGGATTAGACTATATTTCTTTCCTATATAGTTTATTTGTAAGTATGCTGTTAAGAATTTTGAATCCTCAGCTGGGCTCAGCGGCTGATGCCTGTAATCCCAGCACTTTGGGAGGCCAAAGAGGATGGATCACGAGGTCAGGAGAACAAGACTGTCCCGGCCAACAGGGAGAAACACCATCTCTACTAAAAATACAAACATCAGCTGGGCATGGCAGTGTGTGCCTGTAATCCCAGCCACTTAGGAGCTGAGGCAGGAAAATCACTTGAACTCAGGAGGCAAAGGCTTCAGTGGGCCAAGGGCACACTACTGCACTCCAGCCTGGCAACTGAGCCAGGCTCCCTCTCAAAGAAAAAAAAAAAAAAAATTTGTATTCTTGTAAAGAATGACAACACATCACAAAAAGTGGGGTTTTTTTGACCAGGTGCGGTGGCTGATGCCTGTAATCCCAGAATTTTGGGAAGCTGAGGCGGGCAGATCACCTGAAGTCAGGAGTTTCAGATCAGCGTGACCAAGAAACCCCATCTCTACTAAAAACACAAAATTAGCCAGGCGTGCTGGTGCGCACCTGTAATCCCAGCTACTCTGGAGCCTGAGGCAGGAGAATCACTTGAACCTGGAAGGCAGAGGTTGCGGTGAGCCGAGATTGCGCCACTGCACTCCAGCCTGGGCAACAAGAGCAAAACTCCACCTCGAACAAATAAACAAACAAAAAAAAATGTGGGTTTTTTTTTGTGTGTGTGGCAGGATCTCACTCCTGTTGCCCAGACTGAAGTACAGTGGCGTGAGCTTGCTCACTGCAACTTCCACCACCCAGCTTCTAGCAATTCTTGTGCCTCAGCCTCCTGAGTCACTGGAATTACAGGCATGTGCCACAACACCTGGCTAATCTTTGTATTTTAGTAGAGATAAGGTTTGGCTATGCAGACCAGCCTGCTCTCGAACTCCTGGATTCAACTGATCTGCCTGTCTCAGCCTCCAAAAGTGCTAGGATTGCAGAGCCACCATGCTTCACCTAAAAAAAGCAACTGGTATTCTCATGAACACACACACGCACACACACACACACGCGCGCACACACGCACACGCACGCACACACACGCACGCGCACACAGGTATAAAACACGTACTTCTAGTTCTGGCTCTGCTGCTCACAAATCGCATCCTTTCAAAGTCTCAAGATCTGTGGTTCTATGAATGACCAATGTTTCTTATATAGTTATACATTCGTTTTTTAAATTGTATGTACATACATGTACACATGTACACACGTACGGACACGCGGTGCAGGGAGGGACCCGGACGGTACTACCACAGCAAACAGCAAGGCCAGTACTAGACATTGAGCACCCTCAAGTGGCCAACTGTGTCATTTCTCATTCTGATCTAAAACTTACTTACCTTACTAAAAGTCAAATTCTGGTTTGCCCAGAACTCTTGATTCCATTCTTGTGTTTCTTGTCTTAATTTTCTAAGCTTTTGCTCCAGTGGTGACTCATTTTCGGGTATGTGAAAGTGAACAGGTCGAAGGTTTGAATATTTATCTGGGGGTCCTATCCAATCACAGCAAGACTTTCTTGGAGGGCAGAATCTGGAGACCTTTAACAAAGCAAATGGGATTAACATAGGACAAAACGAATCTCTAGTGTAAAGTGTACGATCTGGACTGACTGATTTTGAGACGGAGTCTCACTCTGTCACCCAGGCTGGGTGCAGTGGCGTGATCTCAGCTCACCGCAACCTCTGCCTTCCAGGTTCAAGCGATTCTCCTGCCTCAGCCTCCTGAGTAGCTGGGACTACAGGCTCCCGCTACCACACTTGGCTAATTTTTCTTGTTTTTTATTTTTAGTACAGACAAGGTTTCACCATGTTGGCCAGACCTCAGGTGATCCGCCTCCCTCGGCCTCCCAAAGTGCTGGGACTACAGGCATGAGCTCCTGTGCCTGGCTATTTTTTTTTTTTTTTTTTTTTGAGATGGAGTTTCCCTCTTGTTACCCAGGCTGGAGTGCAATGGTGTGACCTCAGCTCACCGCAACCTCTGCCTGCTGGGTTCAGGCAATTCTCCTGCCTCAGCCTCCTGAGTAGCTGGGATTACAGGCACATACCACCATGCCCAGCTAAGTTTTTGTATCTTTAGTAGAGACGGGGTTTCACCATGTTGACCAGGATGGTTTCGATCTCTTGACCTCATGATCCACCAGCCTCGGCCTCCCAAAGTGCTGGGATTACAGGCTTGAGCTACCGTGCCTGGCCCCAGGCTATTTATTTATTAATTTTTTTTTTTTTTTTTTTTTACAAAGTCTCACTCTGTCACCTGGCTGGAGTACAGTGGCACAATCTTGGGTCACTGCAACCTCTGACTCCCTGGGCGATTCTCCTCCCTCAGCCTCCCGAACAGCTGGAGTACAGGTACCTGTCCCCATGCCCGGCTAATTTTTGTATTTTTAGTAGAGATGGTGTTTCACCATGTTGGCCAGGATGGTCTCGATATTCTGAACTTATGATCCACCTACCTCGGACTCCTAGAGAGCGGGGACTATAGGCCCGAGACACTGCACCCAGCCCAATCTGGATTCATTAGAGTTCCTTGTTACCTTCCTCTTTTTATTTTTGAGACAGAGTCTCACTCCGTTGCCCAGGCTGGAGTGCAGTGGTATGATCTCGGCTCACTGCAACCTCCCTCTCCCGTGTCTAAGCAATTCTCCACCTCAGCCTCTGGAGCACCTGGGACTACAGGTGCGGGCCACCGCGGCCAGCCCTAAATTCTTTCTTCTCTGCAATGCCATGGTCTCTGTGAAAGGATTTTGTTTGTGCAATGTGCAGGAAGAACTGTCTGGCAGTTACACTGGGGGGACCCTGCTATCCGAGAACTGAAACTATGCTGTTCATCATCAGGATTAAAATGCTGACTTGATACTGGATCAATTTAGGAATCACTTTTAGAAAGTCAAGGCAAGACTGCAATACAGACCTTCAACATTTTACCCACTAGTCTAAAAACTACATCCAATCACCAAATGTCCCGTTAAAAGAATAAGACTTACATTTCCAAGAATGTTTACATTTATTGCTTCTTTCTTTACCACACAGTAAAGAACTGGGAAGACGCTGACAAGCTTCTCCTCCAGGCCTCTGCATCTGTGGTATTTGGCTACTGGTAGAAACACTAAGGTGAGTCCCACAAAAGGGACGCACTGTGGCCCGCCCCCCACAGACTGTGGCCCAGGATGGCGCCTCCTTCCCTCCTCCGAGCCTTCCCGGGTGTCGGCAGCTCAGTGGGTTTCGCGCAGCCAGTGCAAGGCCACCGTCCAGGGCTGAGCCTGCTCTTTTCCCATCAGGAAATGTTAAAGGAGCCACCTAACAATTAGCTGCTTTTTGCAGCTGCCCACACATCACACACCAAGCTCAACGAGGTGTCAGGAGTGTTCAGTTACTTTTCCCTGCTCATCTACTAGTTATTACTCCCACAAACTGCTTCCCCAGTAACGCTGGCGAAAGTGCCAGTGTTTTCACATCGTCGTCTGCCATGATACTGTGAGTGACGTTATCGTCCCCTGCTCTTCCCTGTAACTGAAAAGATACTATTTAAAATGGTGGAGAGTCGGCCGGGCGCGGTGGCTCAAGCCTGTAGTCCCAGCACTTTGGGAGGCCGAGGCGGGTGGATCACAAGGTCAAGAGATCAAGACCATCCAGGTCAACTTGGTGAAACCCCGTCTCTACTAAATATATAAGAAAAATTAGCTGGGCACGGTGGCGCGTGCCTGTAGTCCCAGCTACTCAGGAGGCTGAGGCAGGAGAATTGCCTGAACCCAGGAGGCAGAGGTTGCAGTGAGCTGAGATCACGCCATTGCACTCCACCCTGGGTAACAACAGTGAAACTCCGTCTCAAAAAAAAAAGATTAAAAAATAAAAGGGTGGAGAAGCAGCTTGGGGGAGGAAAATGTCCTTCGGTGAAAGGGAGAGTCCCTTTGTAGTGCAACTAATTACCATAATTGCTAGTTTCTATAGTACAGCCTGTGATTCCTGGTGTCCCACTGGCTGTGCTGGGGAGAGCAGGCTCTTCTATCCGACCCCGCAGTCTGTGGGGAGGGCATGCTAGACCCTCACAGTCTCCTGAGAAGCAGCCTCAGTTCTGCCCTCCTCACAGAGAGGCACATGTGTATTCCTGCTGGTCAGGCCGAAACTGTGTCTTTCAGTCTGGGAGGGAGTTAACTTTCCAGTTCTTGTTGAAATCTTTTTTCGGTCTTTCTCTCTTTCTTTTATTTATTTCTTTTTCTTTTTTTCCTCTCAAAAAAAAAAAAAAAAAAAAAAAAAAGAAAGAAATCTTTTTTCGGCCAGACACAGTGGCTCACATCTGTAATCTCAGCCCTTTGGGAGGCTGAGGCAGGTGGATCATTTGCGGTCAGGAGTTCGAGACCAGCCGGGCCAACATGGTGAAATCCTGTTTCTACTAAAAATACAAAAAATGAACCAGGCGTGGTGGCACAAATCTGTAATCCCAGCTACTAGGGAGGCTGAGGCACAAGAATTGCTTGAAGCCAGGAGGCGGAGGTTGTGGTAAGCCGAGATTGCACCATTGCACTCCAGCTTGGGTAGTAAGAGCAAAACTCCGTCTCAAAAAAAAAAAAAGAACTAAAAAAGCCAGACTAATTCTTATGTGCAAACAAGTTTAGGAACCAATGATGCAAACTACATAGCTAAGACACAGGCAGGCATGAAGTGGCGAGGGGACAGAATTTAAAAGTCCAATTTAATTTCTCTTTACCAAAAGCAGATATTTCTGAAAAGCTGAGTTTTAAAGTAAATTTGGAAAGAAGAATGGTGCCTGACTCTAAAGTTCTATAATATTTTTCAATTAAAAGCTGGTGCTGGCAGGGCTCAGTGGCTCACACTTATAATCCCAACATTTTGGGAGGCTGAGGCAGGTGGATCATCTGAAGTCAGGAGTTCGAGACCAGCTTGGCCAACATGGTGAAATCCCATCTCTACTTAAAAAAAAAAAAAATTAGGGCTGGGCGCGGTGGCTCAAGCCTGTAATCCCAGCACTTTGGGAGGCCAAGGCAGGTGGATCACGAGGTCAAGAGATCGAAACCATCCTGGTCAACATGGTGAAACCCCGTCTCTACTAAAAATACAAAAATTAGCTGGGCATGGTGGTGCGTGCCTGTAATCCCAGCTACTCAGGAGGCTGAGGGAGGAGAATTGCCTGAACCCAGGAGGCGGAGGTTGCAGTGAGCCGAGATCGCGCCATTGCACTCCAGCCTGGGTAACAAGAGTGAAACTCCGTCTCAAAAAAAAAAAAAAAAAAATTAGCTGGGCATGGGGGTGTGCACCTGTAACCCCGGCTACTAGGGAGGCTGAGGCAGGGAAATTGCTTGAACGCAGGAGGTGGAGGTTGCAGTGAGCCAAGATTGTGCCATTGCACTCCAGCCTGGGCAACAGAGCAAAAACTCTGTCTCAAACAAACAAACGCATTTAGGCCAGAGAGGTCTCTCATCTTGAAAACAGACCCATGGTAAGATTTATTTTACTTTAACAGGAAGAAATGCTGGGAGCAGTGGCACATGCTTTTAACCTAGCACTTTGGGAAGCCAAGGCGGGTGGATAACTTGAGGTCAGGAGTTGTCTCTACTAAAATTACAAAAAATTAGCTGGGCATGGTGGTGGGCACCTATAATCCAAACTGCTTGGAAGGCTGAGGCACAAGAATCGCTTCAGCCCAGGAGGCAGAGGTTGCACTGAGCCGAGATTGCACCACTGTACTCCAGCCTGGGCTACAGAGGGAGACGCCATCTCAAAAAAAAAAAAAAAGAGTCTATATGACAATGAAGAAATCCTTATTTCTTTCCAGCACAAGTTCACAAAATAAGCGAGGGAAAATCCTCCCACTGGGGAAAAGTCTTGGTTGATTTCCAGTTTGCTCTCTTAAGAACATTTTCAGATACCTGTTGTGTCTTTCTGCCCAAAGACAGAGATGCTGAATGGGTTTCTATGCTCTAGAAATAGAAGGCAAGGGCTTGGCCAGTGTAACACAGAAAGGAGCTAGCCACTTGGGTGTCTGTTTGACAAGTTGCTCTGGTAACTCCTTGTTTAAACTGTAAACTAGACAGACCTTCAAAGCTACAATTAGAAAAGTGTGCTAATAGCCACAGCCCAACAGAAATGAAAATGTATAGGCAGGCACATTTGCAATTTTTAATTAGCTTTTTTTTTTTTGAAGATGAAGTCTCGCTGTTATCAGGGTGGAGTGCAGTGGCTCAATCTCAGCTCACTGCTGCAACCTCCACCTCCTGAGTTCAAGCGATTCTCCTGCCTCAGTCTCCCAAGTAGCTGGGATTAGAGGCCTATGCCACCACACCCGGCTAATTTTTTTGTATTTTAGTAGAGAGGGGGTTTCACCACCTCGATCTCCTAACCTCGTGATCTGCCCGCCTCGGCCTCCCAAAGTGCTGGGATTACAGGCGTAAGCCATGGAGCCCGGCCACTTTTTTGATGCAGAGTCTCACTCTGTCACTCAGGTTGAAGTGCAGTGGCGCCACCTCGGCTCACTACAACCTCTGCCTCCTGGGTTCAAGTGATTCTCCTGCTTCAGCCTTCCAAGTAGCTGGGACTACAGGTGTCTGCCACCACACTCAGCTAATTTTTCTATTTTTAGTAGAGACAGGGTTTTACCATGTTGGCCAGGCTAGTCTCGAACTCCTGACCTTGTGATCCACCCACCTCGGCCTCCCAAAGTGCTGGGATTACAGGCCTAAGCCAGCGTGCCCGCCTACTTCTTTAATTATTGTTTTTTTTTTTTTGTTTTGAGACGGAGTTTCACTCTTGTTACCCAGGCTGGAGTTCTCAGCTCACCACAACCTCCGCCTCCTGGGTTCAGGCAATTCTCCTGCCTCAGCCTCCTGAGTAGCTGGGATTACAGGCACGCGCCACCATGCCCAGCTAATTTTTTGTGTTTTTAGTCGAGATGGGTTTTCACCATGTTGACCAGGATGGTCTCGATCTCTTGACCTCGTGATCCACCCGCAAACCAAGCTTTCCAGCGTCCCTCGTTAGCCTGCTTAGTATTTCCAGGCTTAGCTTGAATATTTTATCTCCAGCAGCTTCCACAGTTAGTCAACATTTTCATCTGACAGATGGAATCAAGGCCTAGGCCTCCCTTAAACAAAACACCCCTCCCAAGAAGCTAAAAGGCCTTCTTATAAAGGCCTCCCATCCTTTATACGAAGTAGAACTTAAAAAATTGCTTGTCGCTGGGCGGGCGCGGTGGCTCAAGCCTGTATTCCAGTACTTTGGGAAGCCAAGGTGGGCAGATCACGAGGTCAAGAGATCGAGACCATCCTGGCCAAGATGGTAAAACCCCGTCTCTACTAAAAATACAAAAATTAGCTGAGTGAGATGGTGGGTGCCTGTATTCCCAGCTACACGGAAGCCTGAAGCAGGAGAATCGCTTGAACCCTGGAGGTGGAGGTTGCAGTGAGCCGAGATGGTACCACTGCATTGCAGCCTGGGCGACAGAGCAAGACTCCATCTCAAAAAAAAAAAAAAAAAAAAGAAAATTGCTTGTCACTCTTTCTTGCTACAGACATTCTTTGCGAATCTTTGGCCGGTAACATGCATATACCCACACACAGTGTGCAAATAAGAACAACTATCCGGCCGGGCACGGTGGCTCACGCCTGTAATCCCAGCACTTTGGGAGGCCGAGGCGGGCAGACCACCAGAGGTCAGGAGTTCGAGACCAGCCTGGCCAACATGGTGAAACCCCGTCTCTACTAGAAATACAAAAGTTAGCCAGACGTGGTTGTGGGTGCCTGTGGGTGCCGGTAACGCCAGCTACGCGGGAGGCTGAAGCAGGAGAATCGCTTGAACCCGGGAGGCGGAGACTACAGTGAGCCAAGATCGCGACACTGCACTCTAGCCTGGGCAACAAAAGCAAAACCCTGTCTCAAATTAAAAAATTAATTCTCAGGAATAAATAAGGTAGGCACAAACTTGGCAGGTGACTCTGTTATGCTTAAAGCTTCTGGCTGTCAACAGTCCCCGACGGGGCGGCGGCACCCTTGGTCCCATCGGACTGAGGGCGTGGACGCGAGAGCCTTGGGGCCGCCCCTCCGGGCCCAACGTCCCCAGGCGCCAGCTTACCCCGCTGGGAGCCGCATCCCTGCGCTCGGCGCCGTGCTCGGGAGCGAGCTGACAACCGCGGCGGGCGAAGGCGCGGCAGAGAGGAAGGAGAAGGCGCTTCTTTCCCGCCCGCAAGGCCACCATGGCCCCACGGCGCCTGGCTCCCGCGGCGCACGGCAGCATTGCGACGACGCGAGGGACCGTTTTACGGCAGGGTCGCGAAGCCCGAGGGAGCGCGGCGACGCGGCCGATCGTGCACTTTCCCTGCGGTGCGACGGCTGCGGGGTCGACAGGCGAAGCAGGCTAACCCGACCGGCCGCTCCTTGGTCGCGGCCACTCCAGGCTGCCTCGCTGCGCGCTGGCGGTGGGCGTGGTGCTGTCGGCGGCTAGGAGCGGACGCCGGAGGTGTCCCCGGGTTTGGGGTTGTTCGGCCCGGGGCGGGGCTGGCGGGCCCGAGCGACGGCCGGGGCTGCGGAAGTCGCGGAGGCGTCGGCGGCGCGTCGCGCGATGGCGCGGGCGGGACAGGTAAGCAAAGTGCGGCGTGTGGCCTTTTCCCTCCGTCGCGGGGACGAGTGTAGCCTCACATCGGCGCGGGGCTCCCCACCCGGCCACCCCTGTCCCGGCGCCCACCCCCGCGTGGCCTGTTGGCACAGGCAGGACCGGGCGGGACCCGGTGTCGTCCCCGCCCCTGGGTCTGACGCGGGTCGGGGCAGGCCAGGTCTGGTCTCTGGTGTCTCCGGCGGGGCCTCGGCTGCCCTCCTTGCCAGGCTCTACCCGGCCGGGCCGAGCGCCCCTCGCGCGCCCATTGTGAGGTCAGGGCCGGCGGGCGCGCCCTGGCACCCGGGCCGAGACGCCCGGGGCAGCTGCTGCAGCAGTAAAGTGGCGGCGCCTTCACCGCTGCCCGGCTCGGACCTAGTCGGGAGGGGCGCGAGGGATGCAGCTGGGGGCCCAGCTCCGGTGCAGCACCCCGAGAAGGGCTGGTCTTCCACCTCCCACCTCAACCACGGGACGCCAAGACTGCAGCCAGCTCAGGTCTCTTCTGGGTAAAGGGCCAAGAGGGAAGGGCGAGGCGGGGAGGAAGGAGCGCCGGCGGCCTGCCCTCCGTGGCCGTCAGGACACCCACAGGGGGTGGAGGCTTTTCCGTCGGTTGCCCACCTCGAGCACGCCGTTTGGTAGAAACCAATAGCTTGAAACAGGTACTGAGCCACTGTGGACTCTCAGTGGGAAGCGAGTGAATGAATTATTCATAATTACCACGTGTTCGCGGGTCGTGTTTTTTTTGAGAGAATGGAGCATGGTAGGGGCTGAGGAGGTTCTGGGCTTCCAAGGCCCAAGATGGCGCCTTCAGCGCAGTCCCCGTCGCTCTTCTTGACCTGTGGGGTTTTTAGCTCTTCAGGGAGACACCTGTGAGGGCAGATATGTGAGGAGCTAAAAGGGTGGGGCAGGGAGGAGCACAGAGGCGAGGAGAGAAACCACGAAGCGGGAACCTTGGGGATGGCTGAGAGCCCCTGGTTTTGGTTCTAGTGGTTCAGTGTCTTTGGCTTAGAGTTTCTGGAAACTAAGGCATAGCTGTTTGGCGGGGGCGGGGTGCTGTTAATGTTTGGCAGGTTACAAGAGCTACTGCTTCACGTTGCACAAAGGTGCCTTGCTGGTTCCAAAAACAGAGTTTGTGCCGGGTGCAGTGACTCACACCTGTAATCCCAGCACTCCGGGAGGCGGAGGCGGGCGGATTGTCTCAGACAGCCTGGGCAATGTAGTGAGACGTGCCTTTCCTAAAAGTGGTAACGTTAGCTGGGCGTGGTGATGTGCGACTGTAACCCCAGCCGCTGGGGAGGCTGAAGTGGGATGACAGTATACCTGTTTAAATGAGAATTTTAGTGTCTTAATATATCATTCATGTTCTGCAGAAGCTTTGTGCTGTAATAAGTTATTCTTGTCATCTTTTAGTGCTTGTGAAACTGACCACCACAAAAGTATGGATATGGGAAACCAACATCCTTCTATTAGCAGGCTTCAGGAAATCCAAAAGGAAGTAAAAAGTGTAGAACAGCAAGTCGTCGGCTTCAGTGGTCTGTCCGATGACAAGAATTACAAGAAACTGGAGCGGATTCTCACAAAACAACTTTTTGAAATAGACTCTGTAGATACTGAAGGAAAAGGAGATATTCAGCAAGCCAGGAAGAGGGCGGCACAGGAGACGGAACGTCTTCTCAAAGAGCTGGAGCAGAATGCAAACCACCCACACAGGATTGAAATACAGAGCATTTTTGAGGAAGCCCAGTCCCTTGTGAGAGAGAAAATTGTGCCATTTTATAATGGCGGCAACTGCATAACTGATGAGTTCGAAGAAGGCATCCAGGACATCATTCTGAGGCTGACACATGTTAAAACTGGAGGAAAGATCTCCTTGCGGAAAGCAAGGTATCACACTTTAACCAAAATCTGTGCAGTGCAAGAGATTATCGAAGACTGCATGAAAAAGCAGCCTTCCCTGCCGCTGTCTGAGGATGCACACCCTTCTGTTGCCAAAATCAACTCTGTGATGTGTGAGGTGAACAAGGCCCGAGGGGTCCTGATTGCGCTTCTGATGGGTGTGAACAGCAGCGAGACCTGCAGGCACTTATCCTGTGTGCTGTCCGGGCTGATGGCCGACCTGGATGCTCTGGATGTGTGCGGCCGGACAGAAATCAGAAATTACCGGAGGGAGGTAGTGGAAGATATTAACAAATTATTGAAATACCTGGATTTAGAAGAGGAAGCAGACACTACTAGAGCATTTGACCTGAGGCAGAATCATTCCATTTTAAAAATAGAAAAGGTCCTCAAGAGAATGAGAGAAATAAAAAATGAACTCCTCCAAGCGCAGAACCCCCCTGAGTTGTATCTGAGCTCCAAAACAGAATTGCAGGGTTTGATTGGACAGTTGGATGAGGTAAGTCTTGAAAAGAACCCCTGCATCCGAGAGGCCAGGAGAAGAGCAGTGATAGAAGTGCAAACTCTGATCACGTACATTGACTTGAAGGAGGCCCTTGAGAAAAGAAAGCTGATTGCTTGTGAGGAGCACCCATCCCATAAAGCCGTCTGGAACGTCCTTGGAAACTTGTCCGAGATCCAGGGAGAAGTGCTTTCGTTTGATGGGAATCGAACCGATAAGAACTACATCCGGCTGGAAGAGCTGCTCACCAAGCAGCTGCTGGCCCTGGATGCTGTCGACCCGCAGGGAGAGGAGAAGTGTAAGGCTGCCCGGAAACAGGCTGTGAAGCTTGCCCAGAATATTCTCAGCCATCTCGACCTGAAATCCGATGAATGGGAGTACTAAAATACCAGACTTCTCACCTCTGATACTGTTTTGCACTTCATATATACTTCTATGTATAGAGAGCTTCTAGTGCATTGCGCCCAAATGTGATTTATACCTGCATATTTCAGTCTCAGTATTTATGATTCAAGCAACTTCTGTTCGGCATCTGCTGCTTTTGATGTTGCAAGACAAATATCATTACGACACGTTCACTTTTCCATTGAGACCGCTGTCTGTATGCCGTGGTGTGGTTTGTTTGGTTTGTCCGTGTGTGTGTGTGTTTAATCAGAAAATGAAATAGAGGTGGCTTTTGTGAATTTTAAATGGGTTGTGCGAGCATTAAATGCAGGTATTTCACAGTCTAGAAATAGGCATAACCTTACATAATACTAGGAGAATTGTGAGAAGGGGGAAATTTTGGGTTAAATAGGAGTGAGGTTCAAACACAAGCAGTACATGTTCTGTTTCACTGTGCTCGACAGAAATTTTTTTTCGGTTTTAAGGCCTGATTGGTCCTACTCAGCTTAATGGGGTGGGGTTTTTTTTGGTTCGTTCAGACAGTCCATGCTTTTGAAAACATTTTTACTTGGAAAAACAGCATCTGTATTTTCCCCATACTCTACATTTTAGAGAGGGGAATAATCTTGTTTTTGTGTGCAACATGAAAATTATGAAAACTAATAGCCAAAAAACCTCTGAGATTGCATTAAAGAGAAGGGATAAAGGACCAGCTATAAATACCTTGTAAATTTTTTTTTAATATCAGAGCTTATTGTTTTTCTTAGTAATTCATAAGGACGGGAACATTTAAGTGAAGTTAATGGAGCTTTTAAAAAAAAGAAAAAGGAAGCACCCGTACCTGTAGTTGGAGGATGGAAACGAGATTGGTCACCAATGTCAGGTTATATTAAAACCAAGCCGAAAAGGCCTGAATGTAGCATGTCATGGCTCTCTTGTGTTGTCGTCCAAGGCTGTAAGATGGACAGCCCTGTCACGCCTCCCCAGTGCTGTCAGTAACCCAGAAGGACCACGCCTTCCTGTTTTCCTAGGCAGTCAGCTTTTAACCACTCCCGTAGTAAACATCGTAAAGATCACCTGCTCCAGGACCAGTTAGAGAAACCTGGGAATTAAAGGCTTGCTCTGGGTGCCTGCCAAACAGCTGAGCTCATGTTAGGGGCATGTGGTGGTTTCTCTGTTGCCTGAAAGAGCCATGAAAGTCAATCGTGCATGAAGTGTCTCTTTTCTGCTAAAGGATGTGCATTTCCATAAATCCTTTCTGAGGATCCAACGCAAAATAATTCCCCAAAGTTCTGAAGTGCCTTGAACCTGTTGGTCCCAGTGTTACCACAGATTCTTTCACCAGGGTCACCTTTCGCCTAGTCATCTTATTACAGCACCTCTTTGGAACTCCACGGTATTATCACTCACTTTCAGAGATGCTCATTTTGTAACTTTGTGTAGGGAAATTACCACTTTAAACAGCTGAAAGTATGATAGCTAAGGGAGTAGCCTTGGTCGGTGGAGGTGGCTCGTACCTGTAATCCCAGCACTTTGGGAGGCTGAGGCGGGTGGATCACAAGGTCAGGAGTTCAAGACCAGCCTCGCCAATATGGTGAAACCCATCTCTACTAAAAATACAAAAATTAGCTAGGGGTGGTGGTGCATACCTGTAGCCCCCAGCTGCTGGGGACGCTGAGGCAGGAGAATCGCTTGAACCCGGCAGGTGGAGGTGAACCAATATCAAGCTATTGCACTCCAGCCTGGGTGACAGAGTGACTCCATCTCAAAAGGAGTAGTCTTTAAGCGTAGCCCTTAACAAATCTTCACTCTGTCTCTCAGTACTGCCCATTCATTAAAATCCCTTGATAGGTCTTTCCTACTAGAAATATCCTAGAACCACTGGATGGTGGGGCGAGAGGGCAGTGAGCCTCCCACAGTCCTGTAGGCCCAACACCTGGCAACCGTGGGCTCAAGGCAGGTCACTGGAATCCACATTTTGGCCAGAGTAGTTTTAACATTGCTTTTCTGTATCATAATTTTAGAATTCTCTTAAAATCTTAAGGAAGAGTTTTAAAATTAGAGCTTTGTTTAATTATACCACCAGGAAATCGTGGTTACACGTGAGACACGTCCTTCACCAGCGTACCACTTACATTTTAAATTCCATTTTGTGAAGTTAAATGTCAGCATTCCCTTTAAAAGTGCCCGTCGTTCTTTGAAGGTAGATGTCACCATCATTCTTTTCAAACAAAAGCGTTTGTGTCCCTTTTGCCAAGCTCTGGGCATGGTGTGTGAGTACAGGGCGTCAGCTCTTCCACGGTCATTTTGAATTGTTCACGGGTTATTTTGGTCATGGAAATGATCAGATTGACCTGGAGTGACTGTGAGGCATGGCTTTGCTTCTGCTTTCAATCTGTGCTAGTCCCTTGTACCGGCTTATTCTCCCGCAGTGAACCCTGGTGACACTGACGCAGCGCTTCACCGCCCTCATGGGGAGCTGTTTGTGCTAATAACGGGCTACTGCATGTAATTCTTCAGCTGGGCTCGTCACATTGTATTCCATTTTTGTGATCTTACATGAAAAGAATCTGTACTGCAAGTAAAACCTACTCCCCAAAAATGTGCGGCCTTGGGTCTGCATTAAACACTATAATCCGTGATCATGCAAAACGTGGCTGGGAACGCTTGCCTTCTTTACGTTCTGTCAGCCTTGCTTTATCCACATAGAGGAGAGCCAGTCAGCCTGCAGCGAAACAGTTACTAAAATCACCGTAGTATGTCTACAAAGTATAGTTTAGTGCTTCATGTTGCTAAAATGTATATATTTGATATACTTCAGTTTGAGAAGGTTAGTTTTTATTATTTGTTTTTGTCAATTTCTTTTTCTTTTTTTTTTTGAGACGGAGTTTCACTCGTTACCCAGGCTGGAGTGCAATGGCGCGATCTCGGCTCACCGCAACCTCCGTCTCCTGGGTTCAGGCAATTCTCCTGCCTCAGCCTCCTGAGTAGCTGGGATTATAGGCACGCGCCACCATGCCCAGCTAATTTTTTTTTTTTTTTGTATTTTTAGTAGAGACGGGGTTTCACCACATTGACCAGGATGGTCTCGATCTGTTGACCTCGTGATCCACCCGCCTCGGCCTCCCAAAGTGCTGGGATTACAGGCTTGAGCCACCGTGCCCAGCTGTTTTTGTCAATTTCTATCTGATTTTTAAGGGTCTGATCTTAGCTTATACATGTAAGTTTTGGGGGTTTTTTTGAGCAAAGCTTTTTGGCTTTTAATTTGTTGGGAATTTTTCTCTTAATAACTAGAGAAATATTGGCTGTAATACAGGTGCGTGTTTCCAGTACCTTGGTTCCTGTCCCCTCTGTCAACTCTGACAATCGGAACAGTATGTCTTCAATAATTCAGTGTTATTTTGAGATACACATATTAGTACACTCTTAGTTATTCTTGAAATAAAGCCAGTCTCTTAGGCTTACAGTGGAGAGAGGCTGAGTCTGAGGTGTGTGTTCTTTATATAGTATCACCTTCGTGGACTGACGGGTGAGGAGCCCTTCCTTACTGGAGCCCAGAGCAGGCAGGCCTGGGGGCAGGTGGGCTCCTTGGCTGCAGCTGGTGGCCATGCTGTAAGGAGGTGAGAGTGGCGTGTGTGTGCCAGGACCCACGCCCGCATGGCGAGGTCACTGTGCTGGCTGAGACAGCCCAGGAAGTATGTGTGTGATAGGGTTGGGGCCTCACGCTCTGCTCCTCTAGGAGGATGCCTGCATCTCAAATAGGAATTGACTGTATTTGTAGAAAGGAGAAGAAGAACCTTTGAGACTATTCTGGAAAGGGCCTCTCCTCAGGGAAGAGCTGTTGAGAGTGCTATGAAGCCGTCTTCACTGCTTCGTGACAGAGGTGTGGGAGTCTTGTGTCCATTTGGCCCTTCCCGGGTGTGTGAGGTTCCTGACTCCAGCCTCCCGCCCTCCCCCAGCCCTGAGTCGAGTGAAGCCCGTGTGCGGGGACTGCGGACGTGCCCGGCTCACCTGGGACGGTTGTTCGTCCCTGAAGTCCAACTACATGACAGCACGAACTCATTTTCCTGCTTTGAGCCCTTTCCTATTGTATTTTCTGTTGTCTTCTCTGCCCGCTTTTATCTTCCAGGTGATCCGAACAGAGACGGCCTGTGCAAGCCTCAAAACACACGGCAGGCCCTGAAACCAGGGTACAGGTTAAAGAGAAACACTCCGGGGGAAATGTGAGCTTTTCAGTACATCCTCTACCACCTGAGGACTCCTATCACTTACCAACCAGGCTCCAAGCCTATCCTCATGTTGCACTGAGGGTTGAAGAATCCACTGTGCCACCAGTGGCATAGGAGAAACTCCAGGCTAGTAAGAGAAGGGACGGGGGGAGTCAGCTGCTCTGCATCTTTCTCAGGCGTGAATGTCTTGGTGTCAGGGCGGGTGCCAAGTGCAAGCTGGAGAAAGACCAGTGGCTTAGGGAAGGGTCTCCCCGGGCTGGTCAAGGCTGGTTAGAAAAATGACAGGAGGCTGGGCGTGGTGGCTCATGCCTGAAATCCAAGCACTTTGGAGGCCAAGGCAGGCAGATCACCTGAGGTCGGGAGTTCAAGACCAGCCTGACCAACATGGTGAAACCCCGTCTTAAAAAAAAAAAAAAAGAAAAGGACAGGAGAGGGTGGGAGTGGTGGCTCACAGTGGGCATATTGGCACTTTGGGAGGCTGAGGTGGGAGGATCGCTTGAGCCCAGGAGTTCAAGACCAGCCTGGGCAACACAGACCCTGTATCTACCAAAAAATTTAAATAACTTTTTTTAAAAAAGAAACCTTGCTGGGCTTGGTGCCTCACGCCTGTAACCCCAGCACTTTGGGAGGTCAAGGCTGGCAGATCATGAGGTCAAGAGGTCAAGAACATCCTGGCCAACATGGTGAAACCTCATCTCTATTAAAAATACAAAAATTAGATGGGTGTGGTGGTGTGCACCTGTAGTCCCAGCCAAAAAAAAAAAAAAAAAGAAAAGAAACCCTGGAGTGGGCTGAGGGCAGTGCCCTGGCAAGCTTGCCTCTTGATTCTGGGTACCCGCTGGGCCCTAATTGGGGTCCCCTTGTATGTAGATCTGGGGTTGCCCCTGCTGGTCAGGACATGTCTGAGGGCATCTTACGTGTCCTGTGCTGTGATTAAATGCTTCCTTGGTTAAGCTATCATTGGTTAAACTTTCCTGTGTGTCAAGCCCTGTACAAAATGTTTTGGGTTCTTTTGTTTTTTAAACAGGGTTTTTTTTTTTAAAGACGGGGTTTCACCATATTGGTCAGGTTGGTCTCAAACTTTTGACCTCAGGTGACCCGCCCACCTCAGCCTCCCAAAGTGCTGGGATTACAGGCATCAGCCAATGTGCCCAGCTTGAAACAGGGTCTCCCTCTGTTGCCCAGGCTGGTTTCGAACTCCTGGGCTCAAGCGATCCTCCCGCCTCAGCCTCCCAAAGTGCTGGGAGGACAGACATGAGCCACCACGCCCTGGCTTGCTTTTCCATTTTGTGTAGTTATCAGTGCACGAAGTTGAAGGCTTGGGAGAGAGTCATCAGGCAGGCTTAGGACTCTGGGTCCCCAGTTCTAGGTCTCTTCCACTTGTGCCCTTCGTTATGCTGGTCACCAGCAGGCTACTTCAGGTCCTCATTCACCTATTTGCTGTCTTGGTCTTTCTAAAAGCACAGCTCTGATCAGATGGCTTTTCTGAATGAAAACCTTCAGTGCTCTCCACTATTTCACCGGCCACGTCCCTGCAAGGCCCTGAGCGAGGTGGTGCAGACTGCCCCAGCCCCGCTGCCCGGCCATCTGTTCTACATACGTTTTTAAGTTCTCAGCACCCCTTGAGACAGGTTTTTCTTTTTTTTAATTGAAATGGAGTCTTGCTCTGTCTCCCAGGCTGGAGTGCAGTGGTGGGATCTCAGCTCACTGCAGCCTCCATCTCCCGGGCTCAAGCGATTCTCCAAGACAGGCTTTACATATTATCTGTTTCATAGGTGATTCTGAGATTCAGGTGGTCCCCTGCCCAGGGAATTGCCCGGGGTCACATGGCAAAGGAGGGCAGGACAATTTGGTTACAGTTCATGAGTCAGCCACATGTGGGATTTACCTGGAGAGCTGAAGAAATGGCTGGTGCTTGGGGCCCACGCCAGGGAATCTAGTTCCATCAGGATGGGGCACAGTCTGGACATCAGGATTTCCAAGAGCTCCCACTTCAGGGAATGTTGGCCAACTGGCTAAAAGCAGGCTGGTGCCGGGACTGCTAGGTTCACATCTCAGCTGTGCCACTTCCTTTTTTTTTTTTTTGAGATGGAGTCTAGCCCTATTGCCAGGCTGGACTGCAGTGGCATGATCTTGGCTCACTGCAACCTCCAGGGTTCAAGTGATTCTCCTGCCTCAGCGTACCACGTAGTTGTGACTACAGGCATGCGCCACCACACCCGGCTAATTTTTGTATTTTTAGTAGCGATGGGGGTCTCACCATGTTGGCCAGGCTGGTCTTGATCTCTTGACCTCATGATCTGCCCGCCTTGGCCTCCAAAGTGCTTGGATTACAGGCGTGAGCCACCTCGCACGGCCCAGCTTTGCCACTTTCAAAGCTGAGCCACTGAGCTTCAGTTTCTTCTGAAAGGTGGGCAGCGTTTAGCACTTATGTTTGAAGGGTTCCGCTAGTTCATGTGGAGCATTCGGCTCCAGGATTATGTCCCAAAGCCAGTGCGTCAGTGAGCCAGCATCCCTCATCGTGGAAAGACTGTTTTAAAGGAATCTTTTATTCTGTGAATTACAACTGCAAAAATGTATCTTTCTACAGTAAGGCGAAGGGAAGCTGTTCCCCCCTTAGGGTTCTTTGGTCTTTCCTGCGCTGCCAGGGATCTGGGACCCGTTTGCTAAGGACTGAGTGCCGCACGCTGCCTCTCCATCTCTGGTCCCTGCTGTGGTCGCAGCGAAGGGCTGGTTTTCAGCGTGTGTTAGAATCCTTTCAGTTCTCAAGCCGTTTCCCTGTGGCTGTGTGTTCAGATGAAGGTTGCCAGCTCCCCACCTTCTGTCTCCTCACGTGGGTGTCCGTCCCACCTCGGTGCTCTGTGGACATGGAGCTGGTGGTCCTGTGTGCCGAGTGGAGATGCCTTTGCTCTTCATGGCCCTGGGTTCTGGTGCTCTCATCTGAAGACCTCCTGCCCATTTCTGCAGCTGTGGAGTGTATTTTCTGTTCCTGTACTCTGTTAATAGCTCTTGGACACGCTGGCTCGCCTGTCTCTCCCATGCCAGGCCACAGTGCCTTTCAAGGCAACATCTGTCTGCACCCGTGCAGCCTCAGGTCCTGGCAGTAACGGGCACTCACATACCTTCTGGATGAGCTGTTCTTTGGAAACAGTGTCCTCAGCTCCTGGCATGTAATAGGCATTCATCAAATACTTGCTGAATAAATGAGTGGAAAAATCTCGATCTTCAGATAGCTTCGGAGAGTGTTTAAAATCTTTCTGCTTATCACACCCAAAGGACCTTTTCTCTGCTGCGCCTTCCACCAGCAGAGAAAGATACGTTTGTTTTGTGTTTTAGACGCAGTTTCACAGCTGTTTCTTAAATGTTGGATTTGGCTGGAAATGTCCGTTTTCTGATTCTTTACAGACAGGGTTTACAAACCACTGCAAACACACATCAGTTTAACTCTAAGTTGAATGCACACATTGAAGACCGTTCTGTTGGTCTTCACCAGGACTCTGGGGTTGCCAATCAAGATCTCTCTCCTGAGGCCACCTCATTCCCCCGAGAGCCCAGGAAGTGCCTCCCACTTGGTCCCTGGGGCAGGAGGGCCAGCAGGGCAGACCAGTCACGTTCTGCTTTGGAGAAGCAAGGCCTCTCTGATGCCAGAGCCCTTGGCTGACCACCCAGCCATGGAGGCCAGGCTGGCTGGAGCCACGCCTCTAAAGATGAGGGGTGGTGATGTTGGCTTCTGTCTCTGAAATTTGTCTGCTTGTACTTGTGACGCTGAAATGACCAGTTAGCTCTGCTTCCTGAGCCTGGGCCAACATCCGTGTCGGTGCTGTTGGAAAGGACCAGGGAGGGGCAGCGTCAGGGCCAGCGTGGGCCTAGCACACATTTCAGACGGTTTCTAGGTGACAAGGCATCTTCCTGGTTGTTGGGTGAAGTACTTGAAGGAAACCCAGTAACCTGCAGGGGTGAGGACTGAGGGAACGTAGCTGAGCCTTGGGGTGGGCTCTCCATTTAACCGGCATCTGCCCAGTGCCTGCAAGACACCGGGGGCAAAGGCATGGACCTGGGCAACGGCCCCTGCAGAGGCCACGTGGCTTTCTGAGGGATCCATCGCAGGGAGCATTGGCCAGATGTGATGCGTGGCTGAGAAGCCCAGGGAGGCTTCCTGGTTGAGGTGGGGAGGTTAGCTGGTCACTGACGAGAAGCGGAACCCGGTGCAAGGTGCAGGAATCCGTCTTCTTCCCAGGCAAG